TTACATTATAACGCCCTCACGGCTGAAAGGGCGAGCATGTTTGGTGTGACAGGGATTCGAACCCGCGACCCTCAGATTGCGAGTCGAGTGCCTCTTTCAGTGTTTGGAGCCAAGTAAATCCCTTGTCACCTTGAACACTTGACACCATTTATAAGTCTCGTGACTGAATGTCTCCCAGAAAGCTTTGTTTATTTTTGTTGTATTTCTGATGATCATCAAGTAACTTGCTTAAAGAGTACGTTGAAATTTGACTTAAACAGCAGTTTGTTAGTCGGTCAATTGGTGAATTCTCGCAAACTCAGAAATATCGACCACAAACAAATGCTAGAAATTCTACTTATTATAACTGTGTTCCACGTGTTGAAAATGTACAGATGTAATATTATATACTATATTTAAAGGCTGATCTTCACGTCTGATACCACACAGGTGGCTTTGGGCTAAAACGAACAAATTACACGATATTAGAATACAGGCACTAGAAATAGGTTACTTTTTTGCGTAGCTAGTAAGTTGGGAACGTTTTGTTAAGTTTGTACTGATTGGTAATTTGCCTTCGTTAAGTTTGTCCTGATTGGTAATTTGCCTTTGTTAAGTTTGTCCTGATTGGTAATTTGCCTTCGTTAAGTTTGTCCTGATTGGTAATTTGCCTTTGTTAAGTTTGTCCTGATTGGTAATTTGCCTTTTTTAGAGTAAGCTTAACTTATTTAGTGTTTAAAACTTTGGGATATAAATAATAAAAAAAAATAATTCCTAACCTAAGACAATCTATAATTTTCAATATATTTATTAACATGAACGATGGAAGATGAAGTTTTGACCGAAATTTTTATTACTGACTTTAAAATACTTCAGGATGCATTGATGTATACTCTAGGGCTAATAATATGTTTTGAAGATATTTAAATCTTGGAGAAAATTCTAAGTATTTGTATATTTATTGGCACTTTTGGCCGGTTTCCAGAGTAGATATTATAATACAACAAATCCAACGATTCAAGTTATTTACAAGAGAAGAACAACCATAATTTAGACATTAAAAAGCAGCTTAATTCGGTTAAATTAAGACGTCATAGAAGAAACTCAAAACGAGATAAAGATCGCTTAACTACGAGGAGGTCATAAAACTCGACTCATTCGGAGTATCAGACTTCAGGAACTGTAAGCTTTTCCTTATCTTCGGTTTCATGAAATTCTTCGTAGAACTGGATACTTTTCACCAGTTGGTTTTGAAATTCCAGGTCGTTTTCTTCCTCTTCCGTTTCGATTTCTTCATCCAGAAGCTCCTTTTGAGCATCAACGATGGTGTTGTAATCCAACTCAGATATAACATCTTCATTGCATATTTCCTTCACTTTCTCCAGTGCTGTAAGAACGTACAACATACGAAGTGATTGTCTCAATATCAGTATATGTTTGTTTATATTGATTGTTTGTATGTTTGTTCCTATTGATTGTTTGTATGTTTGTTTATATTGATTGTTTGTATGTTTGTTCCTATTGATTGTTTGTATGTTTGTTTCTATTGATTGTTTGTATGTTTATTTTTTATTGATTGTATGTATGTTTGTTTCTATTGATTGTTTGTATGTTTATTTTTATTGATTGTTTGTATGTTTGTTTCTATTGATTGTTTGTATGTTTGTTTATATTGATTGTTTGTATGTTTGTTTATATTGATTGTTTGTATGTGTGTTTATATTGATTGTTTGTATGTTTGTTTATATTGATTGTTTGTATGTTTGTTTCTATTGATTGTTTGTATGTTTGTTTCTATTGATTGTTTGTATGTTTGTTTCTATTGATTGTTTGTATGTTTATTTTTTATTGATTGTTTGTATGTTTGTTTCTATTGATTGTTTGTATGTTTGTTTCTATTGATTGTTTGTATGTTTGTTTCTATTGATTGTTTGTATGTTTATTTTTTATTGATTGTATGTATGTTTGTCCCTATTGATTGTATGTATGTTTGTCCCTATTGATTGTATGTATGTTTGTTTCTATTGATTGTTTGTATGTTTATTTTTTATTGATTGTATGTATGTTTGTTTCTATTGATTGTATGTGTGTTTGTTTCTTATAATATTTCAACAATGTTAATTGCGTGAATCTATCACGTCAACAATGAAGACGAGAAAATGGAAGAGAAGAAAAAATTACATCTAGACCCGAGACCATCCTTTAGACTACATCTAGACCCTAAAGGATGGTCTCTAAAGGATGGTCTCGGGTCTAGATGTAGTGTAAAGGATGGTCTCTGGTTTAGATGTAGTGTAAAGGATGGTCTCTGGTCTAGATGTAGTGAACACTACATCTAGACCAGAGACCATCCTTTAGACTACATCTAGACCCGAGACCATCCTTTACAATACATCTAGACCAGAGACCATCCTTTACACTACATCTAGACCCGAGACTATCCTTTACACTTCATCTAGACCCGAGACCATCTTTTAGACTACAGCTAGACCCGAGACCATCCTTTACACTACAGCTAGACCCGAGACCATCCTTTACACTACATCTAGACCCGAGACCATCCTTTATTACAGACTACATCTAGACCCGAGACTGTTGTTTATTATATATCAACATCTAGACACGAGACTGTTGTTTATTATATACCAACATCTAGACACGAGACTGTTGTTTATTATATACC